TGTCTTAAAAAGCATTAACACTGTCAGCTAAAATAAGATTGTAATTAGTAAGGGATTTAGATTCTATACACGTAAGAAATGATATAACAACCTGCTAACTGGAGACAATACTATTCAAATGTTACCGAGGAACAGAGACCGGTACATAATTATGTGCAAGGAGTGGGAGGGTTACAAGAAATGTTTCAATCTAGTAGACTGAACCACAGCTGAGAAAAGGCTAAAACAATAACCTTGAAAACAAGCTTTAATAAGCTACTGTCACAGCACAAGGAGGACAAAGAAAAACATGTTTGTTCACACAGTGAGCCAATTTTGCGTACAGGCAGAACTACCTTTCAGAAGAGAGTCATATACATATATGCATAGTATTTGTATACGTATGTGAAATATAGCATTAACATTAACTATAGAGAAGCAAGACTTCACATCCTAGGACTGCATATTACAAAAGGTTCCATAAAAATAATATCATTGTTTATAGCCTGTTTAGTAATAATTTTGACAATAACAGCTGGAAGAACTTACATGTGGCTGATTTTTTTTAATTACAAATATACTTTTTTTTTTTAATTACAACTATAGAAAGCAAATGCTCAGATCTGGCTTGTGGTGTCTGTGCTGCTATTAATAACTGCTAGTCGTCCCTGAGAGACATCAACAGCAAGCAACCTCATCTAACAGCGGTATTGTAAAAAGAAATTCATTAATACTGTATTTGTGGAGCACTCAGATACCACAGTGAGAAGCAGCATGGAAAAGCCTATGAGGAAATTAATCATTCTGCATTCAGTGCAGGATCTGGCAGATGTGCAATAAAGAAAGCCTGAAGACATACATTAAATATGAAGACAAAAAAAGATTCTAGCCATTATCAGCAGAAATAATATCCCCTGAATGAGCATCATCTGCCTTAGGCATTAAATGTTTGACATTTTCTCATTCAATACAAGGGAAAAACTTCTGATTAACATGATAAGATTATAGCAAGTACCAGCCAGGTATTCTATGCAAAATATGGAATCTGATAATGTAATTAAAGTTTATCATAAATATATGTTCTGAGACTAGTATTTCCTCATTTCTGCATGCTTGATCTTGCAACTAAATAACACTCCTACAGTGCAGCAATTATTCGCAAATGTACATTATCTCAGGATTCAGAGGCTCCTGTCACCACAGCTCCAGGTGTGTTATGTGTTATCACAGTAAATCAATCCATGTTTCACACTGCAGCTGCTAGATTGCTTCTGTAATCAAGCTACCTTGTTTTACAGCTAGCTCAAGAGTCAGGATAGCAAAGACTTGACAAAAAAGGGCTAAACAGTGGTGACAAACCTGCAGGTTCATAGCTAGCTCAGATATCTGTACTAAGATTGCAACTGTAAATTATTAGTTTTATTTTACTCTACATCAGTTCAGTTTTGCTCTCCCGTCCACATAAATGATGCTTTATCTTACCCCATCAGATCAAATCTGAAGTCAGATTTCAACTTTCTCCTCTGTTAATCAGTAGGGATGGCTGCTGGAGAGGAAGGATGTGTAGGGAGGACTCTAGGTTGCACACCTGGGTTGGAAAAGGTCTATGAAAGCTGCTTTCTACAGTACTTCAGAAATGGGGAGAAGAGGCAAGGGGGCTCCATGCATCCCTGTCTAGAAAAATGAAAGATGTGCTAGAATAATCTGGCTGGCAGAAGTAGTCTCAACATCTGTGCTGAGATGCAGCAGTGCTGCATATCATGGTTCCTAATATAAAAAAATAACCACTTCATGAGACAATATGGATGACCAAGGATAGTTCTTCAAGCAACCACATATAAACTCGTGCCACTGTGTTGAGACTAAGACTCTTACTTGGGCTACTTAAGGGTAGGGACACTACCCGAAGATGCTGTGTGAGGTAGATAACCATGGGCTGAGGAACTGCAGCATCCTCAAAGGTTCCCAGGCAGTATATCAATGGGTACATCCTGGAGCTGACACCCAAATTATCCCTCATCCTGACCCCGGGAACCAGCCCGCACAGCACGGGAGCACGGCTCCGGGGTTCTGATCACCGAGACTGCTGAAAAGAAAGGCAAAGCTTTTCCATCTCCTCTGTGCAACAGTAGCTTTCTCTTATGACTATCTGGACACAGTTTGACTCTCGTGTACAATCTTCCTTGGAAAGAAGAGGCTAGTCTATGCTTACTTAGCAAGGTGACGACAAGCCCAGGAATGCATGAAACTCCCAGAGCTATTTCTGTGCTTTTTCTCCATGCTCCCACCCATGGCTCAGGCTTCAAGCATAACTGCTGCTTAGGAACAATCTGCTCGGTTTATTAGCTGGTAAACCGCAGAGTAGCGCTTGGACCCTCCTCTGCCTAATTCAGACAGACACCACAAGTGGGAGTTTGGGTCTCTTCAGCCAAATGTATTCTGGTTCTCCATCTTGAGAAGCTTCAAAACTTGGCTGAGCTATTGATATATTTACTGCCTTCTATCCCACAAGAGGAACATTTCTATTAAAAAAGGTGCCTGGCATACTTTCTAAGACAAATCTGACCACTTGCAGGGAAAAAAAAATAAATTAGTTATCTTCATGAATATACGTGTCCAAATGATGATGTACAGTTCTCTTTCAAGGATCAATTCTGACTGATTTCTGAGGATGCAGGTGGCCAGTGACTCACAAGCAAAGAGATTAATAATTTTAGTAGAGGGATCTTTCAGGATAGCATAGCAAACCTTAATGATATGTTTGTCCTTAGCTAAGACAATGGTAGTAGGTATAGTAGGTAACAGTAAATTTTTTCTCCAGCACACATGAAAAAGGCTAACACAGATATGTTTTGCATTTACTATGTTATTAAAATTATCAAACTAATGGAAATGGAGGTAGTCTTTTTTTTTTTTTTTCTTTTAAATTAGCCTACCAGTTAGCTTCTATTTGACACAAGCAGGACATACCATGAATATGCTGTTTATACAAGGTGTGCTCATTTCAACATAAAATTCAGACAACTAAATCTGACTGAATGTTATAACTAACATCTCTTTTTGGGAATGCAGAACCAAATAAAGATTTATCTAGCTTTTCTGGAGATAAAAAACAAACAACAAACCTAAATGCAGGTGAAAGTCTTGCAACAGAGCTGGCAATCACTATGTCATAGTCAAGACATTCTAACAAAAACATCAGAATTTGTAGAAAACAGCAAACCAAAACATGGAATGAGAAAAAAAACCCACACATTCATAGTGAGAAAATCAAGAAGTTATAATATAGATCTTTGAAAAAGGCCAACACTAGGCAACAATATCTACAATTAAAGGGTTCAAAGACGATGAGAGCAAAACTCACAAGAATTACTATATAAAAGTGAATTTCTCTGATTCTTTGTAACTCAGAGCACTCAAATATATTGATCACTTCATTTGAATACTCTAAAATTTCCTGTCTTCGAAATCTAAGGCATAAGAGAAACCAAAGGCATAAGAGAAACCAAAGCTAGTAAAATTTTAAAAGCTTATATTCTGTTTGTTTGTTCAGATAGCTCACAGGACAGATTAATTCCCACATCAACTGAAAGAAGTCTTAATGACAAATATCACTCTCTTTTCTAGCTAAAAATTTTGCTCATCTTTTTTGGAAAAAGGATAATTTTTGAAATTGAGTGTTCTCAATAAATGGTAGCTAAAATATCTATTGCCAGGTACATCAATACAAATGTACAGGCCCTACTTCTCATCTCCTCTGTCTCATGGGAACTTGGGACACTAGAATCGCAGGGAAAAGAAACCACTTTTCCAAAGACAGTTTCGCTGACAGTGATACTAAAACACCTATTTCTTTTTCAACACATTAGAAAAAGATAATTCCTTACTTCACAGATGTCTGACAAAGCTGATGTAATCTTACTGGATCGATATCATTTTTGGTTATGTAACAGAAGTAATCAAAGCCCTGGAATAGGCAATGTCATGAAATGACGAGTCGACGTAGTTATTACACTTAAGTAGTGTGTCAGTGCTATTTAAAACTGATGATGATCTCTTTAATGGACCAGGACTTCCATTAGTAATGTTCTTTTACTTGCCCAGTGAGGAGATGACAAGAAAATTAAACAAATAAAGATTGAAAAATGGTGTTCTTTATTCTTTACCATAAACAGACATGTTCTGTTAGGGTGCCGCTACACATAGCAACTGCTTTGCTTAATTCATTTTTTAGAATTCCCATTGTTATCCATACAGTAATCTGTGTCAAAAACGATCACCATCAAAACATACAGGTTATTTTTGCCCTTTGAAAAATGTATCCTACCCTTAACATTGCACTTTTATCAGATTATATAGGTAATTAACATATTGTTATTCAGGAGAAGTGTGTATGAGATTCCTAAAAACTCCTAAGAGATTCTAACTTCTTTCAGTGTTTCTTAAACACTCTTTGCTATTTTTCCACACAGTTTTACATAAAGCAAGTTTAGTCATGTAATGCCAGTGTGTAATCTGTCTTTGGATAGGGATTTTATGCCTGAAAACAATGATTAGGAAAGCAGGCACTTAGGAAATACATGTAGCACAGAAAACTTTGTCAGTTGGCTAAATCTGGCTGATGGTCTATTTTCCAGTTCTTCAGAATCATCAGTACCACAGACAAGTTGTTTCATTAATTTATTTTGCTATTGCTCAAAAGAGGAAACCATCTTGTCCCAGAAGGTATGACGGCAGTCTCTCAGGTTATGTTGCCTACCATTAAAATGGCTAAAGTGACTTTAAACATATATCTAGTCACGGCACCATCTTTTTAACCACTTGCAAACTGCAAACATCAGCTACAGTAACAGAGTTTCAGATTTTTGATAACTATGAACAAAAGAAAGCTGAAGGATTATAGGGGTTATAGGGTGACAGTGCGAAACCCATAGTGAGCATTTTATACGTCATTTGAATCTGCATTTTAAGTAAAAAACTTAGCAGTCAATGGCATAACAACATAAAGACCTTGGTCTTACCCTTTGTTTTCAAGTCGTTTAATACCTTTGATTCCACGGGCAGTATATCACTCACTAGTTTTATCTCAATATTTCGGGATGCCAGTTCGAGCAATTTTTCAAAAAGACGCTGACCCTGGGAAGAACATTGAAGGAAAGCAGCTGTTGTAAGACACAGAAGTGTTCAAACAACATATGCATGTTAAAACAAAAACTTATTGTACAACAGCTGCGTAAATATGTTCCTAGATATGGTTACATCTACCCTAAAGGTTAGCAACTCAAACAACTTTTTATTGGAGAAATACTGTTTTGAAGGTCAAATTTCTTCCTTTTCCCAGATTGTACAATACAATTGATGACAGGTGACATGCAGAGAATGAAGCGTCCAGGTTTTTTACGCTGCATAAACATATTTTTATATTAACTTTCTTCTAAACAATTACATTCTGTTAAATCGGGATAAAAAGTGGAAGGAAAAGAGTTTATTATACGCATTCTGTATGGAATGATTTTTTGTAAGCGGTTCTAACCACAGTACGATGCCTTTTCAAGTTATTGTATGCTCATCTTTAGATGAGCTATACGAGGAAAGAAAACAACGATCTACATGTATTTCATATGGCCTTCCTTTTTATACTGTTGTAACTTTACTATTTAAGGCCTATTTCTAACACAGAACTAAAAAGAGAATCTCATACTGAAATGGTTACATGTTAAAACAGAAATCAAGATATTTGTTTCACATGAAAAATAAAATTTTGAATCACAGCATTTTTCCACATCCAAGAAACAAAGAAAAAGTAGATCTTCTGATTGCATAGTAAATGTTAAATTTTTAGATTCAGTATTTCAACTTAAAGAAAAGTGCTTAGTTAGAAGCATCTAGCTACACTATGTCAAGAACAAAATACCGAGTATACCACTACTGTGCTGTGTTACTACAACCACGGTTAGAGCCCATTTCCCTGATGCCCTTCTATTTTACTACAGCAGAGACCAGTTACAATTAGCAGTAGAATACACAAAAACTTTGGATTTAACCAGGTGACAAAGTGCCTGCCCTACCGACACAGCTCACTTTAGATTCAATATAATACTGGCCCCAAGGTAAAGCTAAAACAAAAAAAGCAACAGTCATATCAACTTTCAAACAAACAGGTAGTCCCTTCAACCCAAACCATTCTATGATTCTATGGTTCTAAGATAAAGCTTTCTATGTTAGACAATTATCTTTGCAAGCTTTTACTCTGAAAATCTTAAAAGGATGTTTCTATTCAAAAAAAATGGCCAATGCAAAAGCAGTTTGGGATGATGAAATCTGATGTAGCATGGACTAACAAAACCTCAGGCAGAAGACCTCCTCCCACATCCCACTCAGAAGCAGCAGACAGTGGAAAGCCACCCTGTAATTGCCTGCATAGATGGACACTTTGACCTTTGCAGGGTGTTAAGCATTAAGCAGTCACAGAAAGTAGCTCTTCACTTGTCTATGGTACAGATCTGTTTTTTAATATCCACTTATTTTGAATATATGTGGCAAAATAAGAATACTCAGCCTCCTAAAAACTAGCTTTCTCAAAATTACAAAGCAGTCAAAGGCTGCAATTGAAACACAAAACTACTGTTTCTGTTTTACTTTTGTAACACATGCCTGCTTGCTGGCTCAAACCCGCTGCATAGCTCCCTGCTCACCCCAGGGCTCACAGGAACTTAGTAGTCAACAAGATACTGCTATAACAAAAGCATTGGACAATAGCTAAAAGAACAGGAAAACAAAAACATGCTTTGCATGAAGGTCCAAATGCTTCTTATACTCAGATTGAGCATGTTTTGAGGTGACTAGGTAGTTTTATATGTAAAAAATAACACCCATGGTTTAACTCATATTCATAAGCCCTCACTGAATTGCTGTGCAAGTCAAGGAGTCTTTCCCTCACATTCATCATGGAGCTAAAAGGATCCTTAATTTTCACATCAATGGTTCTGTTTTGGGTTTGTTTTTCTTTTGTTTTTGTTTTTTTTTTTTTTAAGGAGAAGAGAGGCAGATGTTACCAGAGGTAAGAATTAATGAGTTAATAGCGTGGAGGGGATGGATGCTGCATACAGTTATGGAGCAACTCCATCGTGATCCTGGGGGAGCAGAGGGGTGCTGACCAGTATTCCTGGGTGCCCTAGTCTCCTTCAGGAGGATCTCTCCTGCAATTGCTGTGGACTGGCACTGCTAGACTCTACCCAAATTTGGGACCAGCAACCACTGTGCTGTTGTCTGCTGAGTTCCCAGGCCATGTCTTGCCCCGTCCCCCAGGTCCCTTAGGGTGACAGGCTCCTGACATGCCAGAGCTCAGGCAACTGTCATCCCAACTTCTTCTGGGTTCACCAAATGGAGACGTCACCAGTTTTGATTTTCATTAGTTTTACCTTTGCAAAAAGCGAGCAGAGAAAATTAAGGACTAAAAAGGTTTGCATGACATTAATTAAATATATATATATGTAGAAATTGCTTCTCAGAAAGGTTCTATGTATTGATTTAATTTACGAGGTGGAAAGACAAACAGAGGCACAGTGTTCTTGTTTGGGTTATCTGTAAAAACTGATTTTGACTAGAAGCATTGTAGAAAGCCCTGGCATACAAAAGTAAACATGGAAAAAACATTCATAAATTTAATGCAAAGTGATTCACATTATCAATAAGAATTAACACATTAACAGTTCTGCTAAAGAAATGCTTAGAAAGATAATGTCTAAAGCTGCTAAAATAAATTGTTTCAAGAGATAGTTCTTTCCTTCCCCCCGCCCCAGGAAGTTATTTTTGGACATTATTGTCACTTCACTTCTACCTGCACAAGATTTTATTACATATGATTTACAAAAGTTTTGACAAATAAGCCTGGACTTTCTGTATTAATTTGAGTTTGGACAAAAAAGAACATGGCAGCATTTCCTGAGTTTTACCTGATCTTAGTATGCCCTGATGTGACCAGCATAGTACCTCTGATGGAACGCCTGGCTGTATTTTACAGGTCATGCTGCCAGCTGAACAGTCCGTCCTGTGGGTGAATAGATTGCTTGGAGTGCGGCGCTGCATTCCCATCAATACATCCTCTCTAAAAATACCTCTCTTTTCCCATCAGGGACATTACAAGCTATGCATCTATAATAGCCTTTTTTTCCAATTGTGTTGCTAATTGGCAAAACCTCAAATTGATAAAACATTTAAAGCTTCCCAAAGAGTGATGGTTAAGACCAGGAGTGCACTCACCGCAAATACGTGTGTTTATACAGGTATACAAAAACCACTACCCAGTGACAGAACTGGAAAGAATTCCTTTTGTCTCATCTCTTGCTGAATCATCCCTCAGCAGGCATTCATAGACTCACCAAGGTTTAGTCTAGACTCTCTAAACTTAAACTATGAAAAATTCATAACTCGTTTTTAAAAATCTGTATGTACTATAGTAAAGTAGGGTACTAGAAATTCTTCCTTCATTGTTGAAGAACCTGGCCTTCTTCCCCATTAATATTAATCTGAAACTCAGTTTCTATACTCTGACATGTTTACTTGTAATTTTACTCTTTTGTTGTATGAAAAGAAGAAAAACACAGGACAGAAGGTCTGAAGAGTTTTGTCACTGCTGTCAGCACATTTGAAATGCTTTTGTTGAATACAAACCCTCACGCTGTCATTCAGACCACATTCCTCTTGTGAGACAATACCAGGCTGTGGTGCAACTACGTGACAGTGATCAGAATTGTTTCTATATACTCAACTCGTTAGGACTGTGAAACAGTAGCAGCCAAGTGCTATGAAACAGCAAAGTGCTATCTTATACCATATCTGCATTTTAACAAACAATACCGCTAGAAGTCTGCCTATCCCGATAAAATACCCTCTCTTACACTTCACAGGACTGTTTCAAAAAAACCTACTCAAAGTGACAAAATAGGATGCAAAAAGTATTTATCACATGAATAAACTGACATTCTCATGGTAGCTTTGAACTACCATACATCTGAAACATCAATCCCAACTGTACCTGCCACAGTCACCTGGTCAATTTAAAAAAAAAAAAAAAAAAAAGTTATCATTGCCAAAAGGCCCTGAAATTGCCCCCAAAGCAATTTCTTCGCAGTCGTTAGGCAGACTGATTCTAGTCTGGCTGATTTCCCTTGCCTGCTGTTGTCTTTATCAACATGCATTCCTCATTAAAAATAAAATAGAGGAGATATGAACATGAAAATGATGTATTTATGGAATTACTCTAAAATTGAATTGTGCTCTTCAATGACTTAGATTCGTACAGTTTATACAATGCTTAGCTTTTCTTTCTGCAGAAATAAAACTGGTTACTTCCAGAATTTTCTTCAGGATTTCTTCTATATAATTCTACTAATATTTAAAAATGTTGTCCTATGATCAAGCCTCTGGGTACATGTATAAAACATCACTAAAAATCATAAAATGTTGACAGAAACCAAGAGAGCAAATGAATAAAGAACTCCTAACTTTAATTTCTGCTATTTAACGGAGAACAGAGAAACTCAAATGCTCTCCTCGAATTCTTCCAACAAAACAGCTAATGAAAAGGGAGGGAATGTGCTTTCATTTTATAAATGCTCCTTTTTAAATTTCTTCTCTATGCCTCAGTCTGTACCAGCTGCATCAGGGAAATGCCACCACCTGAAGGGGAGAGATATTTGTGTAAAGATGAGCTTACAAAAAAGGAATACATTGCAATCTCTATAGCTGATTGTAGCCGATTTCTGCTGGTAGCTGTTAGGTTTGGAGATGTGCTCCTCTTTGTACTTATTTGCATTTTAAAATAATTTTCAAGGAAAGGTACTTAAGCTCCAGCACTAACATTTGTTCTACCAAACAAATCACTTCAGATCCTTGGGTAATGCATGTCTGAGTGACGCACGACTCATCGTCAGAGATTCATTACGAAGCTGGACAGCTGGCTTACAAGAGAGGTATTATCAGATGGAGTGGGAAACTTCTCCCATCAAGCCATTTGGGAGCTGCACAATAGGTAGGTAAACAGAGATAAAGTTGGAACTACCTGTTTTTTTGTGTGATCATTGCAAAAATCAGATGTAGATCTACCCGTTGATCATCTTATGGTCAACCAAACAGTCCTCAAGGGAAAACTGTGCCATACTCATGGCAATACCAATAAGCCACCATGGCATTAACTCTTTTTTGTAAAACATAAAATGAAATCTGTGAGGAAGGACTTGCTGGAATTATAAAAAGTCACTCTAAATTAAAGTTTCTAAACATGAGATGAGCCAGAGGAAATGAATCGTGAAAACCATGAAATTGACGTGATCCCTCTCTCTTCACTGCAAATGAATTAAAAGCAATCCTCAAAAATTGTGTTTCCATTGTCCTTTGATATCTCTAAACATCGGATTGCCACAGGAGGAGTCACACTTTCACATTTCGCAAAAAATCTCAAAGCCTCTACATGACCTCTACCCTGCTATCTTGAAATGCAAGGATGACAACACATAGTCACCAAAACACATGGTTTTCTTCTGAATGAAAAAAGCAGGTGTAGAAAGCCTTCTCAGTATTTTGTCAAACAAATGTTTGTTTACTTGACTGCCTAAGCTGTGGAAGCACACGAAACACTGTAGCATCATGTGTTTGCATTTGGAGACTCCAATTTAGCAAGACTCAGGAACTCAGATGGGTAAGCACAGCAGTTGTGACTTGGACAGCTCAGTCAGCAACAACCGTTTATTTCGATTTGTAACAACAAAACACGGACAGGCAACTATCAAGGACACTAGGTAACATACCCACCAACAAAAATGAAGAAAAATACAGCAGGAAGTTCCGCAATTTTGTATATGCACATGTATACACACAAATATATATGTGTATGTCTGATATACATTTGGACAAAATGAACAATATGTATACATTTGATTGATACATTATATTGGGCATATATATATATGCATGTGCAGAAATTGTAGAATTTCATTCTGTATTTTTTTTCAATACATATATTGGACATACATGTGTGCATATGTATGTATGCATGTGTGTATGTAACTACATAAACACATATACAGAGAACGTAGCTAAACCTTGTAAGGTTTATCAATCTAGCCTACTCAGCTTTTCTCCTTCAAAAATCCACTGTTGAAGTGTTCTTGTACAGGACCTTGCTTTGCAATATGATTTGAGTATTCATAAAATCAAAATTGCTAGTTATAGAGCATGATGTGGGTCCTATGGAAAATGGTTATGTCCTTAGTTTCTGATAAAATAAGAATCATTCAAGGAACAACTATAATTTACATACTAAGCACCATACTACCTGGAAGTTTTGCGTTCTACGTCTTTACCTTTCATAATGCTTCTGCTATTTTGGGGCAAATTTCCCTGAACTCAAACCGTAAAGACTTGGGGACATTCAACTTATACTTCAGGAAAATTACTAGATTACAATTGTTGAAGCTCCTCTGAAATTTCACTTCCGTTTTACAAGTGGAGAAATCAGATGTAACAATACAAGTTTTCTACTCTCCCTTTCACACACTAGGCTTTGTGTAGATTCTCTGGAGCAGCGATTTGCTCCTCTTGGCAATTTCTTTAGCAATTAGGCTGGCCAATAACAGTGTAGTGTTTTAGGATGAATAGACAAGCTCGACAGAAAGATCTATCAGCTGTTCAGCCCACACTGCTGTACAAATGAGGAAATGACTGGAATATTAATTGCCTTTAAACAGAAGTAATTACTCATTTTTGTAAGACTACTAGCAGGCAGAAATAGATAACTAGAATAGAGTATTATGAAAAATGTTTCATTTTTCTGGCTTTAACAGTGCATTTGAGGATGAAAGAGCAAATCTATTTCTTCCTTTCCCTGCTCTGACGTTCAGCAATATCTACAGTTTTTACTTTGCATGAGAATATGGAACAGTGAATGGATTTGATGCTTAACTACTGAAATCCCAATTTCCAGTTTGCTAATTTTGTCCTCTGTTTGGGATTTGTTAGGCTCTGCTGGTTTTGAAGCAAAATACATGTTAAATTTTTTCAGACAAAACATTTTTAAAAGATTCATGCACATACCAACTCATGCATATCCTAAAAACATCTACAGCACCATCTCTTTGAATTCATTTGCTTGAATGACAGAACATGGGTTTGAAGTTTCTTAGGCCATAAATTTAAATAAAGCTTAGTTGCATAATTATGTTTTGAAAAATCTCAATATTTTGATACTCAATAGGTTTATTCACAAACTGTATTCCAATATTTATAAGCATTCTAAAAGGAAGAGTCTGCACTACATTTTCCATTTGGCTGCTCACCTGAGATTTTCACTCTTTTAAATAAACACGCAGCAGATTTATTCTGAAGAAAAGTTAATGCATGCCATTCAACCAGGCTATAGCCTTTTTCAAGAGAGGTAGAATCCACTTCATGACTTGAAAACACAGGCTATTTGCAGCACCATCTTTAGCTGCTCTGAATCCCAGTCTTTGTCTATCATCTACCAAAAGGCACCTTTTTTACTACACAGCATCAACACAACTAGAGAGGAAAGTGAAGAGTTTGTGACATAGTATAATGGAGTTGGTTTATTACAGTTACCCGGCTGTCATTCTAACCCCATTTCATGTCAGCTGAATGGCTTCTTTCAGCAAAGAATCCATTTGGTGGAAAAGAGCAGATACTCTCAGCCTATCAATTCTTTGATATCTTAGTCTCACAACTGATACTAAGTGGAAATCTGCCCTTACTGTGTTTCTAAGAGGACTGCTCTCAAGAATAAAGTGTTCGTTGGCGCAGCGCCATTGTAATGCGTGTCTGTCTCATTCACTATGATTTATGATTTTTCCTATTGCTCTTAATTGCAGGAGTCTTGAACACCACTCTCTCCCAAGATTCATTTTGAAAAAGCATGAGAAATTATCTAATATTACAGTGTTCTTTATAAGTGTAATTCTATCCATCTATTTGGCTGCAGAATTTATCAACATATTTGCTCTTTTGCTTCATCAGTTGCACCAAAGAGAAAATAAGCATATAGATTTATGGATATTCCCAAATTATGGATGTGTTAATATAGGTACAATTTTGCAGTTTTCTTAAGATTACACAATGATATCCTTTCCTAAGATGGAAGTGATATGAATATGTATTGGATGTGTCACCTATGTCCAAGCATGCCACCACTCTCTGAAAAGTATTGTATTGACAGGAAAATCCTCATATGAAAATGATTTTTTAGATTATTCAAACAAATATGTCTGCTACAGGGAAGGGCTGTAGTTCTAAAAAATGAATAGTGAAACAACGAGAACAGATTCTTAAAGTCCCACCCAATTGTTAGGCTAGAACATACCTGGCATGCTGATGGATGACTGTGATTGAGGTCCCACTGGGAAGATACTATGTCAACAGACTTTTCAGCCATATTAAGCAAATTCATCCAGCCTTGGAAAAGAGACAAATGGGATGGTGCACTGTCTGAATAGTTGATCCCTTCAGGAATATTTTCCACAAGAGCAACCCTGAGAATAGATAAGGAAAAAATAACCACTTAAAAAAAGCACTTTTCTTTATTAAAAAGTTCCAAATTGTAAAGAATGTCAGATTTTGGGCCTGTGGTTCAACATCTGCTCCCAGAGGCTCTCAGCAGTGTGCCACCCTGTAACTTGCTCTGAAGTTGCTGACTGTCATCTTGCACACTTCCCAAAAAAAAGAAAATGTAGAAATGACCTACTGTTAATGCGGCAAAGCCAATGAAGCTTTCGAAGCTCTGCAAAATTAGCTTAAACATGGAAAAGCTTACTTCTTATAACACAGTAAGTGGAAATCGGTCCTTAGATGAGGATGGGAAGAATGAAACTATCTCTTCTTGCTTTACCACTCTCATCTTTGCATTTAATTTCTTCTTCTCTCTAAGCAATGTGGCAAGATCTATACTCCCTGGCATTCTCTTAGGTCTGCTTTTACAGCTGACATTTTATTACATTGCAGTCTCCATATATGAATCTTCCCTTTCCAACTGCTCTAAGCTACCTAATTTTTCTGCTTTCATTTACCTGTGTAAGTCTCTAACTGGGATCTAGTGGTTAAGAAAAGAATTATGCCCTTTTAATTTCCTGTTCTTTTTGGAAAGCTCCTTGATCTTGTTGTCTATATTATTCAAAATGCTCGCAAATTACATTCCATACATTCACACGGATCCAAGAAGCTAAACAAACATTGTAATAAACTGACAGTTCAAAATATGCTCCCCTGCTTCAGGGAAATGATGTATTTCATTCAGCATACTGTCTCACTGCTAGAATTCCTTAAATTGCAGCAGGTAAAGCTCCTCTACACTCAATAGAGGAACCTTAAAAATAAACACAGGTCAAGCAAGTTTCCAAATTCTGTCTTTGAGTAAACAGATGAAATTTTCAACTTATCCAAGTAGCAATTCTGTAAGGGCACCCAACATCAGTATGATTTTACTGTGAATCATACAAACCAGATTTAGGAAAGCTGTAGAAGAGACTTGGCGAATACTCCTTTTCCTTATATCCAAGTACACCAAGTATTTCCAGACTGTTTCAGTACTTAATAACATTAATTATCAACTCCAGCAATATGAATATAATTCGTAAACTGTTTTTGAAGTAAATCATTAATACAAACATCTAGTGTAAAAGAGAATTGCACACTTTTTGACTGTTAGAAAAACAGATTAGTGCAGTATACTCTATTAATTCTGTTCATCTTGCAGGGTCACATGGAAACTTTTACAGCTATTTCAGAATATCAAGCATGTTTGTGAAGTTAACCCTTTAAAAGGCTGAAGATTAGTACTCTTTAATAGTATGAAGAAAACCCAGCAAGAATTGTGATAAAGAAAACCTGTGGTAATTATCACATTCTTATTCTCCTGGCCTGCCAAAAAATCCCCTCCAAAGCCAAAAAAGTTGCAGCTCCTCCTTCTATTAAACATTCAAGTATGTTCTCTTATTCCCTAAAATCTGTCAAACAATATATATATCACTGAGCTACAATTGCTGATTATATTCTCCACAACATACTTTGAACACATCATTCTGTTGATTAACATTAAACTGCATTACAGTAACAGAGTTGTAACACCAGTAAATTAACTGTAAAAGGTTAAAAACACAACCTGATTTTTTAATGTTTTCAAAGTATACTTTATTCTAGAACATTCTACCTACCTTGTTTTCAAACTTTTCAAAATAACTAGTCACCTAAAAATTTAATGTCCTTATTAGTCTATTAGCAATGCCATACTTTTTAAAAGAAACACTTTAACACTCAAGGTTTTAGACTTATTTCTCCTGCATCTAATCCTGCTTCAAAATTTAATAAAACTTTTGTTAGATCTCTTGAAAGCCTGGTTAGTTCTTTTTCAATAGTTAACACTACTAATCATATTTTGGTTCTTAGCAATGTCCATGTCCCCAGAGCTGTTCTATGGAGACCTGTAGGATGGCCACCTTCAAAGAGTAAGAAACCGAACCACAGAAGATAAAATGATCTCTACAAGGACATAAAAAAACATCCCAACAATCCAGTGGCAAAGATGAGAAATGAACTCTTGTCTTTCTGGCCTCTTCCGTCCACTACCCAATCACATGTAGATACATGAGAGTGTGATTTTTAATACTTTCCAAAGACATTCTTCATATCAAATGAATATTCAAAAATTAATCTAATCAAATGTGGTTCTGATTTAGCTAAAATTTAAAAGTGCACATCACTCCCTTAACACAAGATGTGACCAACATCACAATATTGCCTGACATACACAGTGTTTTCCAGTTGAACCTGTGCAAATGAATATACAGGAGCCCATAAAATAACTGGTAGGATTGAATCTGTCACAGTCACTTCCAGTAGGTTCTAGTGGTCTTTCCCATGAGCTGTATTGAATGGCTGTCCCACTGGAAAGCATAAGCTTAACTTCCACTCTTTCTGTCTCTGTCTTTGGAAAGTTGAAAGCTGCCACAGAGTCACAAAAGGGCTGAAATTATCTGGAGATTATGTAGCTCAACCATCCTTGTCAAAGCAGGGTCCGTAACAGCAGGTTGCTCAGGACATTGTCCACTCAGGTTTTGAATATCTCCAATATCTCCAAGTCCGAGAAGCTTAACATACTATATTTGAGATTAGGGCCTTGACCCAGCCAAACAGGTACATGGCTATTTCTGATGCACTGACTTCACGTTTTTTAGGTCTGAAGTAGAGGAAAATGCTATATCTTTATATTATAAACTCAGATTTCAGAAGTCGCTGGAAGCTATACCTTAAAGTGTAACGCAGGAAGAGCTGCAATGTGGGTCACTGCTCTACAGATACATTTGGGTACAGATACCATCAAGATACACAAAAAAGTTGGGGTCTTCTTCCTGTTCCACAGCTTAAAACCATTTTTATTCAAAGAAAGTAGCAAAGCAAATTTGCTGGGCAAAAGGAAATTAATCTCCTTAACAGGGCCCTTATTAGGAGAAGGTGCTTCTTGGTAAGGAAGTTTGTCCTGACTGTTGGGCTGAACTTGCTCTTCACTAGAGATCAGCTCCCAGTTTTTCTATGACTACCGTTCAGAAGGCTACAGCACTAGCACTAAATAAGGAATGTGACTACACAGCTCCTGCTATTTTATAATTTGGGTTTGATTATGTAATAGAAGCCAAAAGTATTCCAGTTAGCGAAATTGTTATTCAGAACAGATATTATCTGTTAATGTATTTCCTAGTATTTTGTTTAACCACATACTAAGTACTTCGTGTTCTTTAGCAGATAAAGACATTTCATCTAGCTAGTGCACTAGTTAGTGTTGTTTTCAGAGTTTAGACTTCCCTTTAATAATAAACTGATTCTGCCAGAAACTCCCAATATATTCCCCTACCCACTTAAAAACTCAACACCAAGCTCAGAAATTAAAAAAAAAAAAAGTCAACCACCAAGTTTTTAACTAAGTGATTTTTGCCTTCATAATCTTCCTTTTTCTTTTGGCACAACAGCAAAGTTCCAGTGCTTAGTCAAGAAAAGTTTTGTTAAGCCTTCTATGCAAAAGTTTGAGCTTGCAAGCTCCAATTCCATCAATAAAAGCTAAATTTAGCTCTCATTTTTGTTCCGATTTGACCCACAAAGAAGTTTTTAAAATATGGTATAACAAAAACTCCCAGAAGTAAAGGTCACTCACAGACCTTGAGGAAGATCCGACATGGTGACATAATTTATTCTGCAAAACCGGCATATTAACCGAGCAAAACAGAACAAATGTAGCATGGTGATTAAAACAGACTTCTCTTATGCTCAAAATCATTAGTAGATACCTCACACCTGTTGGATGAGATGTCCTTCCCTTCCCCAATTTCCTGGTGCTCTAAGTATTTCATCTGAATTATGTCAGCATAGGCTAACATCTTCAGTCATATAGCTGAGTATTCTCAAACCTACCTCGCACAGACTGAGAAACATGAAAGTAATGTTACACAATTTCTGTGAAGTTAGAAAGACAAGGGTCAGAGCTGAGATTCAAGCTCCTTTAAGCTAACAGAAACGTGGTAAGCAGTATAGTGCTATTTAATGCCTACCAAAGAACAGACCTTGACCTCAATAACAAGACTCTTCTGAACTCAGCTACATGTCTTGCGTTTAGCAATTCCAAGTGAATTCTGTCCCAGGCTAAGAATTCTTCTTCATCTTCGACAGTCCTTGGGTTAGAAAGTGAGAAGGTTTGTTTCTGATCTCACACCATTTTTTTTCCTCTGAAGGAAAGAGAGATACTTTTAATTTGCCATCTGGGTTAATTAGAGTAGAAAGGGGGCTAGGGTAGTGAAAATAGGCACAGGCTATAATATGTCTGTCTTTTGAATAAACTTGGGGTTATTCACAAAAATTTATAGCTCTGTCTGTTGAAAAGTTTAGCTGTAATGACTACACAAGTATAAAAGGAAAGTTCTTTTGATAGTTCAAACTTCACTTCATATTAAAATGATAAGCTGTAGAACATTATTCACTCCAGTTTGTCTCAATCCAAAGTCATACACTAAAGAAAATCCAGGCCATACACACTTGAGTATCTCTACAACATCTGAATTTACTCACTAATAAAGGCAAAAAATGTGATAAGAAAACACTGCAATGATTTGTATGAGACAATAAAGAAATGAAAGATGAGTGAAAGCTATCTTTGTCATAAGGCTGCTGTATTTCAGACAACAGAGAGAATGAAAGAACAAAAGAAGACTGGGAAAGGTGCATAAGTCCTGCTCCTACACCAGGGTCCTAGTTAAAGATACCCTCTTATGACCCCTCTCTCTCTCTTAATCCAGAAGCCCTGGGACCACCAACCCCTGTCCTGAAGGAGCACAGCTCCTCACAGAGTTCCAGCTCCTTCTTTGTTATATCCCCAATCTTAATATCCATTCAAAACCTACCATCTTTCTCAGATCAGTGTTTTCAGTTGAGACTTTCACCATGTCACCTTCAAGCCCTCCACTTCCTTCTGCATCATATCACTCCTACCACT